TCGACAACAACAATAACAACAATATCAAGCCTTTATCTCACTATGTGGGGTCAGCTACATGAATCTTTTTTCTCCATTGTGTCATGTTAAAAGTTAAATTCTCATTTAAATCTAATATAGAAAGGTCATTTTCTAATATTTTCTAATGAAGTCTTTTTATGTTTACCTCTACTTTTCTTAACGAAAGTAAAATCTAATATATCTACTTTCTTAACCAGGTCATCGAAAGGTCACCGTTTTATATGACCAATCCATCTAAGGTGACTCTCTCTAATCTTATCTTCCACAGTAACTACTCTAACCTTTTCATGTATGCTCATTTCATGTCATATCTCTAAGAGTAAAGCCACTCATCCTGAGCATCCTCATCTCTGCAACACTTAACTTAATATTATGCTTCTATTTTAATAGCCAACATTCTGCACCATAAAGCATTGCAGTTCTAACCACCATATTATAGAATTTTCCCTTAAGTTTGAGGAGGACTTTTTTATCACACAACAAGCATGATGCATTCCTCCACTTCAACCATCCAACTTGAATTCTACTAATAATATCCTCCATCTATTTCACCATCACTCTGAACAATAGACCCAAGATATTTAAAACGTGTACTCTTAGTAATGACTTGATCACCCAAAGTCACAATCCCCCCACAAAAACTATTATTACTAAAATTACACTCTATTTATTCAGTTTTAGATCAGCTCAAATGAAAGTCTTTAGACTATAAGGTTGACATCCATAATTCAAGTTTACCTTCAACTCTCACTCTAGTCTTATCAACAAGAAGAATATCATCAGCAAAAAACATTCACCAGGGTACAACCTCTTGCAAATATCTAGTGAGACTATCCATGACTAAAGCAAAAAAGATATGGGCTTAAGGCTGATCCTTGATATAATTCAACTGAAATAGGAAAATACTTAGTCAAACCATCTTGTGTGTAAACACAAGAAATAGCTCCTGCATACATATCCTTAATGACTTGAATATAAGCATTATTAACCCCTTCTTTTCTAGAACACTCCATAGCACTTCTTTTGGAACGTTATCATATGCTTTCTCTATATTAATAAATATCATATGTAGATCCTCCTTGTTGTCTCTATACTTCTCCATCAAACCTCTCAATAAATATTTAGCTTTCATAATTGACTTACCCGGCATGAATCCAAATTGATTTTGAGAAACATTAGTATTAAGCCGCAACCTATGCTCCATAACTCTCTCCCATAGCTTTAAAGTATAGCACATTAACCTAATTCCTCTATAATTCGCACAATTTTGTGCATCACCTTTATTCTTAAAAATAGGAATCAACACACTCATTGTCCACTCATCTAGCATCTTTTTAGTCTTCAAAAAAATATTGAAAAGTTTAGTTAGTCAAAAAATTCCTTTATTTCCTAAGCATTTTCATACCTCTATTAGAATATCATCAGGTCCAACAACTTTTTTATCCTTTATTTTCTTTAAAGCATCTCTAACTTCGGTTTTATTAATACGCCGATAAAAAGTTGTTAGATCTGAAGATTATTTTGTAAAAATGTTGTTGGACCTGATGAATAAACCTAATAATACGCCGGTTTTACAATTTAATACCTTGTAGGAAACCTAATATTTATGCCACTAATTTTGATTTAACACAATGAGCTTCTTCGTAATCAATATAACATTTTTTTAATTCAAATTACTAATCCATTTTGAAAATTTCCCAAAATTATACCTATCACCAAATCTAGCAATGTAACTTTAAACCTCATGATATAACACAAAGTTCCCCATGGACCAGTGGCGCATGGCGCAGCGCACACCATTTTACACATGGAGCAAAATATTAAAAAATTATGAATAAAATGTAGATAAATATGAAAGACTAAGTAAAGGATAAAACATCATGATAATAAAAATAATAAAAGTGATGCTTAAATTCAAATGCTCAATACCTTAACTAATTAAGTTCAAGTGCAGTTTGAACTAAATATGGCATTCTCTTAAATACATAATAGTGATAGAAATGACTAATACTAACATGTGTACACTAAAAGTTTTTAAACAACAAAATACAATTTGAAAATAGTGAAGTTAGTGTGAAAGGAGAGCAACGATAGCTTCGTAAGAAAAGACAATGTGTGAAGCTGCTATGAGAGGAAACAAGGTGTGCGGCTTGTTGTGCAAGGAAGACAAGGCAAGCATTTGTTGTGGGGTTATGTGAGGAAGAGAAGGTGGCCTGCTGTGCACGATGCTCTAGCTCAGCGGACTGAGGCTGAGTGTTTACTATGAAGTCATGATCATGCACTTGTTGTGCGTGCATGGCCAAGACTGCTTGGTTGAGATGATGTTAGACAAGTGTGTGCATGATTGAAACCATGCGAACAAAACGATATCCTAGCCAATTGAGACAAAAAAGGGCGTGCATGCGGGACTCTATTGATTAATGGGACAATAGTGTGTGAGAACTCAACAACAACATCAGTAACATCATCAAACATTTATCCTACTATTTGGAGTCGGCTACGTGAATCCTTTTTCTATATTATGTCATGTTAAGAATCAAATTCTCATTTAAATATAAAGAGTAAATAATTTTAATTTTAACTTATATTACTAATTTATCAAATTTAAAGCAAGTTCTATAAGGCTATGCCTCATGCGCTATTGCATGTGCATAATGCAGATGATGCGCGCTATTTAAATCTGAGTACCCAGTATGAAAATGGTGCAAAGGATGCACTACATATTGCCATGCATCATGGTGCGCACTATTTTGTATTGTTAACATGTAGGTTTAGAAGCATAACCAACTTGACTCTAATTAAATTGCATCATTTTTGCAATTTATTAATTGACCCAATTGATATAATGCAACCTTAAGATCTAATACCAATTTGATGCAAGAAGTCTTAGAGCTTAGGGTTTTTAATTCAACTTGATGATGCAAGGGATGAAATCAAGCAAATCATATTTGAAACTCATAGTTCTAAAAGCAACCAATTAAATAATTATTCATAAACTTTTGATTCAATCAAGAAAAAATATGAAAAAATCATGCCAAGTTGTAATCTAATGATTAAATACACAAGAGAATTTAAGAGTTAAATTGAAAACATCAAAATTACCAAGTCAATTAAGATTAATGTATATAAAGGCACTTGTAAGGGATTTGACTAAAATCAATCACATTTGCAAAAATCAATAAAAAAGAAATTTAAGATATAGGAGAGAGAAAAGAATTCACCAAGCAAGAAAGTCACATCTCATGTCCATATAAGAAACTGACTTCCCCCAAAAATTATAGTTGTTCTTGTAATGCATTCGAATAAATCTACACTCATAAGTCCGACAAAATTGAAGGAAAATTTTCATTAAGCAAAAACTGAATCCATAGTACATGCCTCAAGTTTTCTATTTATAAAGACTAACTCTAAGGCCGCCAATCTCCTGAATTTTCCAAAATAAAACAATCGTTGAAATCTCATCCACATTCAACCACCTCATAGGTTCTGCAAATTGGTATATTAGGCACAACAAAAAAGCATAGATGAACCACAGAATCAATGGCTAAATAACCACGTCTAGTTTAAAGAAATATTGACACAAAAGAGCACAAAAAACATCAAATATAGGCATATAGCATATCACATGAGACATTTAAAAATAAAACTAATATTGCTGCATGGCTAATAACAAGTAAACTAGAATAATAGCCAAATCCTGATGTCCATGAACAAATGACTGAACCAAGATAATTCTAGTAGATTGTATCAGCCAAATTAAACCAAATCAAACCAAGTACTAAAAAATGCATAACGCATAATGTTCTGAAAGGCTATATCACCACAAGTATTTTTAAGGAATTAAATTGGAATTATAAAAAAAACAACAACAAAAACACTACCAAATAAAAGTAAATTAAACATTGTTCAACTGATTTATTTGATCGACATTTCTAACAAGTATGAACTTGCATATCTCCAACAACAATCATTCCAAAAAAACTACATATATTTATAAGAGCAACCAACAAACTCTTAAGCAACAAGCGCTACAAGGTCTCCCAAAGGACAACTTAATTTCACTACAAATCTGTGATGAGTTCACATGGGTTTATGATAAGAAATGTCAAGGATAGGTCAATTACCGTACAACTGACCATACAAATGGGTGAGATTCAAAACTCATTAGACAATGGCATGCACATTGTTAAATAACCTTTACCATTTTACTGAAGCATGAGTTATACTTTAAATTGAAAATTGGTAAAAAGGAAAAAAAAAAAAACAATGAAAACCTCTGAAACACATATGTAGAGAAATAACATGAGAATTATTTTAATTTCAAGTGGTCATGATACTTCAATGAACTAAAGTTTCATCTGTCATCTGAACATCCAGCCCAATCAACATCTTAATGAAAATATCCATATGTCGTTATACTATCAATAAAGGGTTTGCACCCCACAATTATAAACAATTATGATAGGGATAAGCTTGCATTGCTCATATTCCACCTAGCTTGCGGTTCGGGAGATCTACAACATATACTAGCCAAATAAATAATATTTATACCCACGAGTGAATTTCTTCAATGTTCAGGTCTCCATTAACACAAAACATCAAGAACACCACATAACCTTTGATTGCCATAAACGTTCCTCCAGAGACAATAAACTATGTTGTATACCAATCAGAAGAACCACAAACATCGAAATTTCCAGTTAACAATGGAACAAATAATGATCTCATAAAATATTCACAAAATTTTATGGCGGATATCGAAACAGCTCTCAGAATCATGAATATGCAACCACTCATATATATGTAAAACAATTAAATAAAGCTCACATTATTTTGTTAAAATCATTTTCACATGCATTTTGTCCCTCAATTAACAAAGAAAGACAAATAAACTTCATCTTGAACCAACTTACTCTAATGTTATTTACTAAATTCAAGGTAAAGCTATTCTATACATCAAACTACAAGTAAATTGTCACCTGGCCAATTTATGCAGAGTTATCTCACAAATATGAACTGCTCCTCATATCCATATGGCCACAAACCCTGGTTTAATATAATAATAATAATAATAAAACATATCATGTATAGCTGTATAAGCCTATGCTCAGATAAATTGAACTAGACTGCAATAAAAAAGCTTTCAGGACTGAAAAGCTTCCTTATACTCTCTAATTTCTACCAAATTTTGCAAACACGGCAACAAACCGAATTTTTCAATAAAACAAAAAAGGTAGAAAATCAACCACCGCAATCTAATTAACTAAGAAATTTTTTTTTCCCCTCTTAGCTTCAGCAACTTTCTTCCTAAAGTATTTTCTCTACAGAATCCCAATTAGAACCAATTTCAAATAGAATATGATGGATCTTTGCCTGTATAAAGAACCAGAAACTAACGATACAGCTAGAGACTAGTTTAGAGCAGGATGTTAGAAAAGTAAAATAAAGCATGAAATAAGAACAAAGAAAGATAAAAAAAGGGGATTTTGATCCTACCTCTCCAATAACCGCGCTATCCGGAAAAGAAAATCCACGAACAATTATAGAGAAGGAAAAAAAGGGAGGAGAAGCGAGATTTTAAGGAGCCTGAAGAAGGACAGGAAGAAGAGACACCACTCTCCTTAGTTGCGATTTTCACGTCGATTAAACTTCCGATACCGGAATATAGACGCGCGAAGAGGAAGAAAAAGATCGAAGAGACGCCACGATCTCAGACGAAGGGATCTCTTGGCTGGAAAGGCTCTAACTACTAGTGCGAAACTTCCGGCATCAACGAACAGTAGCCGTCCGATCGTAAACAAATGACATTAAGATTCTCACATTGATGAGATAGAGTCGAGGTTTCTTTGTGGATAGAGATGATTGAGAAAAAATAGTTTTTTTTTTTAATTATGTAAGTATTACAAATATTTTTTTCCTAAATATCATATTTTAATAATTCTAATTATAAAAAATAATATTTCATTACAAAAAATTTTTAAGTAATAAAATAATACTAATTAAATAGAGATATGATAACAATCTGAAAAATAAAAAAATGTCTATAAATATATTTTAAAAGAATAAAAAATATTTTATAATTATATTTTGTTTTCGTTTTCATGGTTGGTATGAATTAATGATTAGGATTGTTGCGGGCTATAATATACACGGCAATAGAGTGAGAAGATTTTTCATATTAGAGTTGTACGGATATCCAACACATAAACAGAGAACTCAAAAACACAAGGGTTTTTACATGAAAAATTGAAGAAAATGTAAAAATCACGGAGGCCATGCTCAATTGAAATAATTATACTATTTTTGGAATATATTATAAAGTTGACCCATCTCGAAACTCAAGGTCGGTGACATTATAATAAATTGGTGAGTTGGGAAAAGGTCCGGCGTCAATTGGTGACCGGGCGGAAGTCCGATGATCGTTGGTGGCAGGAAAAAATTCTGACGACGGTTGGTGGCCGGGCAGAAGTCCGACGACAGTTGATGGCCCAGTAGTAGTCCGGGGACAATCAATGACAAGGTAGAAGTCCAACGACGGCTGGTGGTTGGGAAAAAAGTCTAACGATGGTTGGTGGTCTGGTAGAAGCCCAACGACGATTGGTGGTCCACCGATGGTCTAACGATGACCAGTGGTTCGGCGATGGCCGAGGAAGAGCTTGTGGCAAGAGATATCTCTTATTTCTCCTTCTTCTTCTTTTATATCTTCCTCCATTTTGTGAAGAATGATAGTTCAATTTATAATTTTTTTGGAATAATATGGCTAGTAAATAGGGAGAATATCAAGGGCATATTGTGTTTTTTATGGATATATGGTTTATATTTATTCTCTTTATCATAGACAGTTTATCGTGCATTTGAGTATCTTAATGATGTCATAATTCATCAATCTTAGGCTCGTTGGATTCGTCTCGTTGATCCACTCGATTCGACTACAAGTATGTCACATTTGGAAATCATTTTGTCCTCCAACTTATCCTTTGAAGATTCCAAATGTGCTTCGGACGCTCGATTTGGACCTATTTGAGCTTAGATTAAATCGAATTTGGTGTTATTAGGTTCTTCTTTTCAACATGTTCAGTTTACCTATAAGTTTGCTGAAATTAGAGTTTAGTTGGTCTCAAAATTAACTTCAGAAGTTTCTGATTCAATTTTGCCTCGAGATTCTTGCCCGATCAAGATAATTTTTTGATAATATATCAGGGATAATAAAATTTTATAATTTTTAGAAGAAATTAATATTTAAATAAAGTGCTTAGACTTAGTGAAATTTATCTTTTAATAATTTTACTTCCAAATACTATAAATATTTTTCTATGTTGTGATATTTATCATACTTTCAATCATTTTTCCAACAAAATTAACTCTTTCTACAAGAGTTATAGAATATGCTCTCCAAAATATTTTACTTTAAAAATTTTTTATGTCTTTTGATATTTCATACATACTCAAATTCACAAGATTTTGTTCCCTATGAATGTGAATATGAAAATATTAAATATGATTATTATTCATTAAGGTCTTAAATATATTTTCTATATACATTTGAATGTGATAGCTTGATGTATAATAATAATTTATATTGTATGAATTTAATTATCAAAAATTTAGGTATGACCACTAGAAAAGTTGATCGATCTGATTATCTGAATTATGATTTATTTTTATAAAATGAGTATATTTTACTAAAGAAAAAAGTGATTATTTGAAGCTAATTTTTTATAAGCTTAGGGTTTAGGGTAAGAAGAAAAGCTCATAAGCACTATATATTCACCTTTGTGAACAATAATTGACATGAATTCCAAAAATGATAAAATAAATACATTGCACTAGTGGCTACAAAGATTACAAGATAGGTTACATCCAAAAAATGATAAAATAAATATATGGCACTTGTGAGAAGCTTTCAATAACAAGTACTTTCAGCGAGTTCCTCTGGTGAGTAAATGTCACGCACCAATATCAAATTTGAAAGAATTATTTATTTTAATCTCTAATTAAACCACCATAACTACAAATAATCTATTAATATAATTATGTCTAATAGAAGTAATAATCATATACATTAAAATGTAAGATTATGCTCATTTCTCCAAATTCATATACAATAATCATGAATTTCATAAATGCATCAATCAATCTATATTTCTACTCCTAATTACGAAAAAATAGAATAAAATACAAAAATAAAAGAAAAACTTGAATCCCGAACAGCCTCTCTCTACGGGATCCTGAAACCATTATTTGCCCTGAAATCAATAACATCCACAGAGTGAGCTAATAATAGGTGACCGGAACCTACAACCAAAAGCAATGCAAAATAGTCGAAGTTGTATGCATGTAATCACTGAATCCAAAATCAAATAGATTCCTATGGTTAAAGTATAGTGGCAGAATATAACAGCTAGAGAGGCTACGTGGGAGAAGAAATCTCAATTGAAGCAGTTGTATCCAGGTTTATTCTGACTCGTTTTGCTATGGGAATGTTGAGGACGATATTTTTTTAAGGTGCACTACGAGAAAACACGCGAATACCGTCGGATTTTCCGGCGGAATATTCTGGACGGTAATAAACGGCGCAGTTACCGGCTGATTTTCTCGACGTAAAGTTTGCGTCAACATTTTCGGCGCCAAATACGTCGTAAATTCACTGACGCATGTTCTGCCGGTAACTCCGACAGTATTGGGATGCCTCAACCATTTCCGTCGCACGTTACGGCGGAACCATTCCGGCGCATTTTACCGGCGGACATTGCGCCGGCGTATTTAAACTCAACGAAATATATTCGACGGATGAGATGTCGGAATTGATACCGACGTCACTAGTGTCATTACCGGCGGAACGTCTGCCGGTAAAATCCCTATTTCGCGAACCCGAACCCCTCTGGCCGTCATTCGTTTCCTTCCATTCTCTCACTTCGACTGCTCTAGTCGCGCGCCGCCTCTCTCCTTCCTAGTCGCGCGCCGCCAGAGGAGATAATCGAAGGTTTTTGTTTTCAATTTTTTTTGCGATTTCGGTTGGATTACATATAGATTAGCCTTAAGTCCATATCTTTTTGCTATAGTCATGGTTGTTATCACTAGACATTTGCTAGAGGATGTAGTTTGATGCATGCTTTTTGTTGGGTAGGACTACTTATGAAAGCGACATATATTTTGTGAGGTTTGATGATAAAACATGTGATAAAGTTCTATAGAAGTTCTCTTGAGAGTTTTAGGAAAGAGAAGCGTTAATAATACATATATTTAAGTTTTTAAGGTTATGTATGTAGAAGTTTTTACTTGTGTTCAAATTCAAGGTGGTTTGACCAAATATTTTTCTATTTTAGTTGGATTACATCAATGATCTGTTTTAAGTTAATATCTTTTTTCTTTAGTCATGGATAGGGCTGCAAATGAATCGAGCCGAGCCGAGTTTGTGAGTGTTCATGTTTGAGTTTGTTTAGTATTAGCTTGTTCAATTTCGGTTCGTGTTTGATTCGAGCTTTATTATTTTTGTTCATGTTTGGTTCGTTTAAAAATTTGGGATGTTCATGTTTAGTTTAAGTTTTAGTTTGTGTTCCATATTTGGTTCGTTTAGTGGTTATCAAGCTTTAAACAAAACAAAGCATTAACTAGTAATGAACGAGCTCAATTTCTATATATCCATCAACTTAACAAACGAGCCTTTTGGGAATGCCTTTATATTGGTTATGGTTGGATGGAGGAAATTAAGCTGGGAAAGAAATATTATTACCTAATAGTTAAATCTTGCCTCTTGTTTAGGTGCGTTGAATATCTTGGATCTACTAATTAGATATATATATAAATTCATTAATTTTTTTACTCTTATATATAGGTTAATGAGATATTAGAAATCAAGAAGTTGGATATATAACCGATTATCTCAAGGTCGGAAGACATTAACAGATGAATTCATCAATGGGGTGAACTTTTTTCATTCAGCAAGCGAAAACAGCTGCCCAGCTTTATATCAGAAGGAAAGTTTCGATGTCCATGTTCTTAAACACAAAAATCTAGTGCACCTAGAACCAGATGATGTAACTGGGATCTGTATCGCAGAGGATTCATTGCACGCAGGTATTGGTATTGGACTTCTCATGGTGAGTATGACCGTAATTGATTATCAATGCGTCCTTTCTACAATAGTAAGGTTGTTATGTTGAACATGAAATCTGAGGAATTAGTTCATGATGAACTGAACTCAAACTGAACAAAATACAGAAGAGGTACCGAATACGGAGGCCACAAAACTTTTATGATTTATTGCATGCTGCCCAGCAACCAATCTGGAAAGGGTGCACGACTCACTCAGAATTATCTGTTGCTGTGAAGATGTTAAACATCAAGGCTGAATATAACGTTGCTCATGAATGTTTAATCAATTCATTGGGCTGCTTAAGGAAAACCAATCCCGACAGATAATTTTACTTGATTGTATTTTTTTTAGCTACTGCACTGCGTTATTTTTTATTAATTTTGTTATAACTCATATTTCTAATATTTTTATTTATGTGCAGATGGCTTCAGGTGAGGAGCGCTAGTAGAGGATTGAAAAATATTTTAACAGTGCGCACAAAGAAGACACTGCAGCTGGACCACCTAGGCCAGTATGTAATGAGGAGACCACCTCGGCTCAGCCTGCTTACACAGCCTCAGCCTGATACACTCCTTTACCCACTCATGGAGCGCGTAGCCCACAGTTTTACTCACCAGACCCCCGATTT